AATGTGGGGAAGGGATGTGAGGAAGGGAAGTGGGGAAGGTCTTCATGTCTTCTCATGCATAACCATTAAAGAAGAGATTATACTCTAGGGAATGACATGTGGTCTGAAATAGAAAAACAAGTATGCCCAAGGTAAAGAGTTTAATTGACAGCAATCAAGCAATCTATTGTAAGACTGGGTGTAGTTGGCAACAAAAAAAAACAATAGATGGTTGACAAGGACCATAGTCAGATGGATTGTCACTCAGCTGATATACGTAGAAGGGCACGTATTATCTAACTGCACTTACTTCAAATATGACATCAATCCTTCCATACCAGATAAGCTCTGCTGCATTCTGGAAAAAAACACAACTGAAATAAGTACAGAAAAGAACAGCGTCTTGCTACTGCAATGATTCATACCACTTGAGTCGTTGGGTTTAATCCCTGGTAGGGGTGATGGGGGGAAGGCTAAGTCCCTACGGGTACTATATTCCCATAAAATAATTGTGTTGCATGAAAGGACTCTCCCATCAGTGACTTACTTAGGTGTGGCCCTTCAGTATCAAATCTTAAAATTTTCATAAATGACCCTGTTTTTGCAACATCTTATACATGTAATAGGGAGTAAAGATATTAAAATTAACTTTTTTCAATGGGATTGAATCTTTAGTTATACCATGTTTTTCATGACGTGGTGTAAGCACTGGACGCCAATGACTTTATTGATAACCTACAAGCAAATAAATTCATTGTTAATTTGCAAAGGAATTATAAATTCTGTTCTTGAGGCACTAAATAATATATATTACAGCTCATATATTACTCAGTTCATTAACACATTAGGATTTTTGGAGTTGCGAATAAGCAATTTCTCACAAGACTACACTACATAATAGTTTCATACCTGATGGTCATCTATAAGCTTCAATAATAATGGCAACAACCTTGAAAAGTGTTTTCCTACATGTGGATACTACAGAAAGGCAGTAAATTAGTTTATCATATGAGCTGTATGGACTACCCATATTCATCCATGCAAGCAATCATTAGTCCGGTGGAAAAAGTCATGAGATGGGGACCGGATGGGTTGACATGTATTGAGTGGGCTGGAAAAACCAGTCTGGCTATCTAATTTATCAATTTTAGGAAGATTTTTTAGCCTTTTCTATGACAACAATTGTTGGTGTCGTCTATACAGCATGACCTTTAGCCAAGCCTCCTTGAACACTAGTCCACCTAGTTATAGCCATCAAAAAGGAAAAAGTAATGTAAGCCCAGGATTTTGTCTAGAATAGTCTTTGAAATACTTGGCTTATTACCTATCATTTCCATTGTTATGCACTGATTGAGATAACAGTAGTCACATGGAAATCAGGCAATACACTACCTTCAATTAACTAAATAATTGCTACATGTAAAGTACAATTAATATGTGAGACTGTGTAGGATTTATTTGATTTAGGGTATTGTATTTGCCCTATTCCAGCATGTCATGACTGTTGTCTCAATCACCAAGTAGCAATGAAAACTCTGGCAAGAAGAAAACATTACTGGAATTCTTTATTTTTCTACCTGAACTTTCATGGTACACCAGCAGACTACATGAGGCAAGGGAGCCCATGCAGTCATTCTTGAGTGAAGAACATCCAAGACACCAGGGAACAGCTCTTGTCGTAACAATGGCTTTTCTTTGTTGCTTGTTGTGGTATCACTGCCAGACAAGAGAACTGACACTGAATCAACCCGACATCCATCACATAACAGATCCAAGATATCTAAAAACAGTCATATAAAACAATGTTAATTGTTGCTACATCAATAGCATTTTTCTCTTGCATGGACTATTAGAAATATAGCCATAGCTTTGCCAATTAGAAATTAGAGCATATTAAACAACTAGGTTTAATGTCCAACCTTTTGCTGTAGCCCTTGTTCTTTCACTTGTCCATGGCCATTTCTCTGCATGACTTGCACACAATATTAATGTATCTGTAGCAACCTTCTTCAATACAGTCTTGTGAATAATGAAGGCCTTTGGAATTAAAAATGATGGTAAAATATTATTTTTAATTTACACATATGTATGCGGGACAGTATATGCAAAGATGTGAATGTTAAAGTTTCCTGTCTGCCTTATACATTTGATTAGAGCCAGAAGCTCACAAAAATATCAAGGCTCCTTTGGTGTCTATTTTTTGCCAAAACCAGCTTTATCTAATTGCCTTAGGAGTATTGGTGGTTTTAATTGTGACCACAAACAGTCTCCTCCCTTACAGAATCTTAGCTTCCTCTCTCTGGCACAGCAGATGATTATTAGACAATATTTTAACTTAACATAGCTTAATTACTACATATTAAGAAAATACATAAGATACACCTGCAAAAGAGGCTAATAAAATTCAGGGTTTCTAGTATTTGCAAATATATTGTCTGTCATGATCATACCTCTTGACTGCAGTCTGATAAAGAGGACTTTACAAGGCATGACAATATCACTCTATACACTGTCATCAAGGAAACCACTTCACCAAGGTTATTGACTGATTCATGTTCACCTTCTGAGAGAAAATTACACACAAAACATAAATATGATAAATGGCTTGATATGACTTTCCCAGCTAGGAGAAGGGAATGTTGAACAGTAAGGCAGAAAAAGGAGCTATGCTCAAGAAGTCATTTCAACCTAATAGCTTAATTAATTATCAGTCTTATTTAAATACAAATTATGCAATGAAATCCAATGCATCTACCATTGCTGGGTGGCTGGCTCAACAGGTTTTACAACCCAATTGAAAATGCTGCAGCCAATAGGTTGAATTAGAATTCATGAGTTGATTTTTGTGGATGGAGGAAAAACCAGAGAACCAAGAGGAAAAATCCTCAAAGCACAGAAGAGAACCAACCAACAACTTTACTTGCATATACGACACCAAAACCAGCACGAGTTGAACCTGGGTTGTATTGGTAAGAGACAAGCATAAGCAGCACACGCTACCTGTGCTTAGTTTAACTATCTTGGAGCTTAGTTTGGGCTCAATTAATGTCCTCAGATTCACGAGGGGGATGGGGGAGGGGGAGTATGCCCATCTACCCCCTAGATCTGTCACGTAGATGTCAGTCTCTTATGTATGCCTCATGTATGCTCACCATCACTGTGATCGCTGTCAAATTGCCGATGATGATGAACTTCTTTTGTAATATGAAGAAGTAAGCTTGAAATGCTTTCTTGTACTTGTGCTCCCTTCAATGTATTGCATTCTCTGCAACATTTCTTCAGTCTGTCAAGGAGATTTTCCTATGTAAACACATAATACAAGACTATAGATCACTCTAATACCAAGGGCAATATATGGGGAGATTAATATTAACTAATTAAGAATTATTTTCAATTATATTGTTGTTAAGTATTTCTACAAAAAGATTCATGACTTATTTATGACTTATTTATGACTTATTTATGGGGATTTATGATAGACACACAGTATTCCAAAGTTTTGCTGCCGATAATTGAAGAGAGCGTTTATCGCAGGTAATATTTTAATTGATCCAATATACAATAACTAACCTTCTGCAGATTGAGTATTAGTTCATCATAAGCCGAGGATTCACAAACAGATTGAATTTGTCTCAGAAATTCTTCTTCTTGTTGTTGTTCATCACTGTCCTCCATTACACTTACACGTCACTCCGCTGGCTCGTCTCATCGCTGGCTATATTCAATATTATTATAAAAACGTTTTTGAGAGTTAAAAATGCGAACTAAAATATTTTGCTGGACTATTGGCTGTAAAATTTGTCCGTTCCTTGCTTGTTTTAATGAGATTTGAGCCGTTAAAAGGTTATTATAAAAATCCGCTCTTTCTCATCCTCTACCACCCCTCCCTTAAACAAATTTGTACAGGAATCTTATTTTATTTGGTCTACCTGTGGACAAACCAGATTCAAGATGGCGGGCTTCATCAAGTTTGTTGTGAAATGTGGGATCGCAGGAGGAATCGTCTACGGCGTTGCTTCTCAGGACTTGTTCAGTTCTCAGGATAGAGCCATTTCTTCTTTTAAACAGCTTAAAAGTACGACGCAATCTAATCTTCCTATCGATGCCCCCGAGGTAAGGAGATGATGAAACAGATGACGTCTACCATGATTAAAACTGAACTTTTAAAAGTTAAGCAAATCTAGCGAGGGATCATTGTTTCTATACCTTTTTTTGTGTCCTACAGCTCCAGTCGTGTTTTATGAGGAGAAAATACGTAACTCATTTTAACTTAACCTCATTTATTTCCTTTGTAAAACAAAAACAAAAACAACATAACTACTTGGCTGTCAGCATTTATTAAAGATGACGCGCATGTACACAGCCAAATCTCTCTCTGGAACTAGAGTATCTCTTGTCTAATCGAGGTTGGATTTGCTGTAAAAAGTTCCTGACTAAAAACAAAAGGCAAAGTCCTTATATATGTTTTTGCCATGATGTGTTGACCCATACACTCCTAGTAATATAGTAACTACAGCAGGGCTGGTTTTGGTATGAGTGGGGAGCATGGGTTGGGTACAAACTTACAGCACATACATGGTATGACATGCCGTACATTGAAATGTCTTCCCATAAGAATGGTACAGTTATCATATGAGTGGGAAACATCACATACAGACTTACAGTATGGTACACTGTACAACATGCCATAACATTGCAATGTCTTCCCATAAGAATGGTACAGTTATCATTTATCAGATATCGTATTACTGCCACCTGGTTAGCCCACTTAAGACACTAATGAACAATCATCTTTGGTGCCCACTACAGGGCCCACTGTAATTGCCCTAATTCACTATGTAGCGTACGTCACTGCTTGTTTATGTGGGGGATAGAATTGCCAAATCCAATAGAAAATTCAACAAAATTTGCTACTAGCAAAACAGTTTAATCTAAAATGGCCTGGTTTTCAGATATAATAGGTGTTAATATGTACTAAAAAATATTCTGAGTGTTTGCTGGCTATTCTACTTCTCTCTGTGCAATGATACGGGTTTTAGAACAATTTTCGGTGAATTTGCGTTGATTTGACCCCGTCCAACGACCATGATCCTTTGCGTTTAAACAATAGGTTGTTGAAGATTGTTTTGATGTTACATCATAGTGAATTAGATCAATTGGCCAAAAGCTGTTGTGGATCCCTGCCCTCATGGAGAAAAGCTAATAAATAAATAATAATAAATCATACAAGTGGGAAACACCAAATACAGACTTACAGCATGTTCATGGTACGACATGCTATAACATTGCAATGGCCTCCCATAAGAATGGGTATTATATGAGTGGCTAATGTATGGTATTGACTAATAGCATGCACAAAGAAAGACATCCTGTAACCATTGAAATGACTTCCCATAATAATGGTTATCATATGAGTGGGAAACATACCACAGACTTACAGCATGTACATTGAAAAAGCACTGTACTGATAAATGGTTGCAATGGTGTGATGGATTTGTACTTTAAATTACTTCAAGACTCATTTTTTTTTACATTAAATGCAGATGTATTCCATTGATCTGTTCATACTAACTAATATACTAATAATGCATATATATTATTTCTCAGCAGTTGCCATCAAAGTCAGACGTAAGACAAAAATGGAATGCTGGAGTACAGTATGTGTTTTCCTCACTTGACAAGGCGCCAGACACAATTAAGGATYTAAGCAGCAAAGGAATTAAAAAAACCAAAGACTTTGTTAAAGAGCAAATGAAATAGTCTTTGATATTGATAATAAGGAAAGTGACAACTATTGTAAAATACACATATTGACATTTGTATGTACTTCTAAGAACTGTGTTTATATTAAGATTATGTGAAAGAAATCTGCAGCTTTTGTCTTTCTGCTACAGTACATGCAAAACCCTTGAATCAAGGGAGACCTAATAAAATCTATTCAGTCACATCTCATGCCATGATCAGGAATTTAGTAACCATGTGTGAGCGGCAAATGCACATGCTCTACTGCTATGCCACTGCCAACATGGCCGTAACCAAGGGGGGTGCATTGGGTCATGCACCCCCCCTGCCCACAAAACCTGAAGGTCTGCTGGTCAACTTATTTGTTTTTTACATATCTCTCATCTGCAAATTGAAGCATTGTAATTATCACTCACACATAATAAGCCTTAAAAAATTCATAGTTTAAGAATCGATTCCACTGCGCATTCGATTTTATCCCGAATTTCTACCTTCTTTTGCCTAAACCTTCATTTTGTTTTTAATTAAACAAAAGGTGAGAAATTTGGGATAAAATCGCATGTGCAGTGGAATCGATTCTTAAACTATGAAAAGGCTTATTGGATTATTTTTTTTGCTGCTGTGAATACTAGATTGGTTATTTCATCACTTTTTTTTTTGGTTCTGCAAATCCTTGGAATGTTATACCACTCCTCAAGATGGCTATTAGTTCAGACATAGTCCCATTTCCTGTGCACCAGCCTGGCAAGACCCCTGGAAACAGCCCTGCTTAACAACCATGATATATATATAGTTTGAACATGCAGTGCAACAAAAAGGAAAAATGAAAAAAACACAGAATCGCAAGTGGAGTAACGGCTATTTAACCATCAAACTCAGAATTTGATTTAAAAGATGAAAACCTTCTTCTGTTTTATTTATTTCACATGAAGAGACTTGTTAGCTAATTGGGAGGTCTTTCTTATTTTGAATGTTGGGATTTCAGTAAAAAGGTTTATTTCAACTGGTAAAGAATTGAATTTTCATTAAAGATATTGTATTTGTTTAAAATAACTGAGAAAATGCACAATACATATACCAAATAAAATACAATACGGTTTCTACAAAGTCTTCACATTTTATTGAGAGCCTTTTTGTCTACTATATAAATAAAAAACTTTAAAAACATTTTATAATAAAAACATTCATCATAAATTATAATTTTGCAGTTAAAACTCATATACAATCAGACAATTAGCTGAGTACAAAATGGTTTTGTTATTCTTAATGATGAAAATTAAAAAATAAAATAAAAATCATAGCATTCTAGAATTGTATTCCATATAAAAAGACTATGTAATTCTTTCTACAATCGATTTGAAAAACTTACAAATTCTACATTTTTTAGAAATGAAAAAAAATGAAAATTTTCATTCTTAAAAAAGAATATTGCATCAATAAGGTTTACGCTTTCATAAATATTTTAAAGACAAAAATTGGAAGGAGAAACCTCATTTGCTGCCAAAAATGATATCTTAATATTCAATTTATCTTACACCTTTTTGAAAGCTTCCTTTATATTACATATGATTATACTGAGAGTGAAAACTGGGTGTGGCAGAATAATAATATGGACATGGTGCTTGCTCGTAGCTGGTCACTGTAGAAATTGGCATAGCTGATGAAAGATAAGGAGCGGCGTTTCTCAGGCTCAATAGAAGCTGGACAGCCATTTGCTCTTCTTGGAGCTTCTTTAGCATGTATTCTTGTACATCATCCTGTTCCAAAGCCTCTTCTTCTGTTGGTTCGTAAATGGAATCTGAAGAGTTGAACGTTACTTCTTTTGTTGGTGTGGAGCGCTCGCTGGAGATGCCACTTGAACTTGTGGAATGGATTTCACTATCACTGCTATAACTTTTATCTTCATCAGGACCAGCATACTCGTCAGAGAAATACTTGACTTTCATTCTCTTGCTTGGGTAGGTTCCGCCTTGGAAAGAACACGCCCTCTTCGTAGTACGTTGTTTCCCGTTCACGACATTCTCAGGCCTTTTCTTCTTTCTTGAGTTGCAATTGCGTTGTACAAGGTGCATCAGCTCGGGATGTTCGCGTCGAAAATGCTGATGCTCAAACCTCATATTCCTTGACGGGTCTCCTTTTCCACTAACTGGAACTTTCTTAAAACCATAAAGGTTCAATTGCCTGACAAAGCTTGTGAAGTTTCTTGTCTTGAACATTTCTTCACTTCCGTCGAGAACAACCTTCTTGAAAGTTTCGCCATCAGTAATGACGAGAGCATTGCCGTTTTCTGACCATTTTATCGCACGGTGAAACCTTTCGTCCTGCAGAAGGGCTTTGAGAATTGAAATAAACGGCTTGAGAGGTTTTCCTTTGACAGGAATGTTGTGGGTGGAGTTTCTGTTCATTGTTGTTTTCACAGTCTTGCACAATTAGGGCTTCAATTAGTATTGCTTCCACGTTCAAGAACCAAGACTCTTCAAAACATTTCCTAGAAACCAAAGCATAATATATAAAAAAGTTAGGAGACTAAAAAAATGAGTTACCAAAGCTGAAAAAATCATACGAGTAAAAAATATATATTTTTAAACAATAGTTAAAGCAAATTAACACGAAAAAAACTTGTACTTCATATACCGGCTTTTGTTTTGAACGAGTTTTTGTTCTAATGTTTTCTTTAAAAGCCCGTTTACCGGAAGGTCAAGTTAAAACAAAAAAACTGTAGAAAACTACTTCGCCTATTTAACTTCTCAAAAACTAAATTTTTTTCAAGAAAAAAGGAGAAATTTTGATAGAAAAACTATTGCAAAACTTTTCTTACCTGGACAAGCAGCATTCGAAAGAAAGTGACAAGAACAGAGAACATCTGCAGCTAAAAACCAACACTTTACTGGATTCCCAAGCTCTGAGCCAATCACATTTAAAAGCAAAATTTGACGGAAGCTCTGAGTGGTTAATATCTGACAGCTCATGTTTCAAGCTGCTGTCGACATCATTTCTCGCGTGTGCATTTCATACGACACTGGACCTTTTTGAACGGGCGCGCCTTGCTTTTTCTTTTCTTTTTCATAAAAATCCCCCCCCCCCCCCCCTAAAACATAAGGCTCTCAACAAAAAAACTTCGTTAAGTACAGTACCTAAAATTCGGTCATTTATTGACATCGACTTTCTGTGTATACGGCTTCAAACATTTGCCTCTTCCATATAATACTATAATATTATCGCTTATTTGAGAGGCCATAATAAAGGGGAAAATCACAGGGAGACCAATTTCATTACAAGTGAAAGGTAAAAAGAAAATCTGGAATCAGGAAATGTCTTAAGGCCAACATAGTCAGTATTATATCTAAGCAATTCAAATTATTTGTATCCTAGTTATTGATGTTTGCTAATAAAATATGTAATAGCTGAGCAGAAAGACGAAACAAACAAGAACCGATAATTCGAATAATACCAATGAAGTCTGCTTTTGACTATTCATTGTTTTCCCGATYCAACTAAAGGCTAAACACTTGTAATTTGCTTTTTCTTGTAATTTCAAGTAACATTACACGTATATTTCCTTTCTTCTACCCATTCCTTCTTTCAAGACATTCTGCTTTCGAGGGAGTGGTTGAAGAAATAATAAAATGATAATCACAAAGAAATGTAAACTTTTTTTTAATGAAAACGACTATCAGATTAATAAAAAAACTGTTACGATAACTGGAACTATGGGTACTTAAAGGCTTTTGGCAAAGTCAACATAATAAAGCCCCTTGCTGGTTGTTGTTGTCGTTACCTCCCTCCCCCCTTACAGCCCCCTTGTATCTTGGAACAAAACAAGACATAATCCTTTATCTACAGTGTATTATTAGAATGCAAACGATTTATCTATTTTCCTTTATCATTGTCCTTGTTTATATGGACAGGGTTTCTAATATTTCTCTTGCATCATTTAAGGGCACTCCCATTCCCATGCAGGAACTTTATAACAGAATTGGCACTGATCAGAGACAGAGAAAATGCTTGCAGTTTACATATAGTAGAATTAATTTCTCTAAATGGGTTATTATTCACTCCAAACAAACACTTTTCCACTGGAATTCCCTCCAGCTATGATATTGAGTGTAGGGTGGAAGGCAATTCGTGAGGTGATTGTGGTAAAGTTTTCATGCCATAGTTCAATCAACGGACCACCTTTTCTTTCTGTAGAGAAAACATCAAGCTAGGAAGAGGAAAACATAATAGTGGTGTCAAAAACTCTGCTAAGAAGAAGTTGCATGGTATATCACTTGCATTTTGTAATATACACATGAACATTGTCAGCCAAGAAATGCATGGTGTCATGAAAAAGCATCACATAACTATCCTATCCCTAGGCCACGATGCCCAATTGAAAGAAACAGTGGAATATGTACGCAAACTGCTTACATTAGTACTATACTAGGTCTTGGTATCCTATATAACCCATACCTGTCTTGGATATTTCATGCTGCCAATGGCAAAATATTTCTCATTTTTTGGGTCCCACTTGGCGTGAAATGTTGCCAGCCAACGCCCAGTAAAGTTATCATGCCTGTAAATAAGTAATACATTGATTATTCAAATATTTTCCTTATTTAGTTACCAAACTACATTATTACCTGTACATGTGACTTGGTGGATGTGAGATAAGACCTGTTAGACTGACCTCATTTACTCTGTAAGGAATACAGAATAGCAGTTTAACAAACTAAAAATGTACACCAAAAATTAATTGGAACATGGCATCCAGTTTGAATAAATATTTTTTCTAGATTGACTGGCCTTGTGTTTGCTTGTCAACAAAAAAAGTGTCACCATATCAACTGTGTTTCTTGTTGAATCAAATAAATAAACCTATGTAATCACGTTTTCCCATTTTCTTTGTTAACAGTTGCCCATATGAAAAGACACAACTGAGTTTGGTTACAACTGAAACAAAGAATATTATTCTCAAGAGAATGACACTTGTTAAGGAAACTTGGGTAAACACTACAACCGACCTATGAAGCATACTCACGTGACAAAGTTGTCCAAGCCTGTAGCTAGTATCTGCTGACCAGTTTGGGGAGAGAAGAATGCTGATGAAATACTGCGACTGCGCTCAATGATACTCAGATAAGAGGATGGACCTTTGATATTTCGAATATCCCAGATTGCAATTTGTCTGGAAGATATGGATCACATGTAAGTAGATGGGTCTCCCTTGATACAACTGTTTTTCTACCAATTAGCTCATTTTCCTCCTTCCACAAAATCCATCTTCATGATAAATTTCAATTAATTCTGTGTATCAGCGATGCCGCGAGTTATTGCTTTGTGGTTTGATAAAGTACACCGGGACTTAGCATTCAATTTTGGTAAACTTGGTATATTTTTTATTTTAACAGCTTTACAATTTTTACGAAGTTGTGATAGACATACCCTTTATTTGTTGTAGTTAAAAACATGTTTGGTCTCTGAGGATTAACATCCAGACATTTAATTGCTTTGTCATGAAGCTGATAATGAGGGCAACTGTGCCTGGAAAACAATTAATAACAACAACTATATATTAGTTGAGGTTCAGCCTATCATGAATCATTTTAAAAGTTGAGGTAGTATTATTTTCCAAAGCCATAGCAATACACTGTAGTTTCTCCATTGATTTAAGATTCTCTTTCCAAATTCTCCAGTTTTCCTCCCTTCTGCAAAACCTAACAATAGTCATGCATTCTAAATTCCAATTACATCTGTGAGTTAGCTGTGCACAGACTTTGATCAGCCCAGAAGTTGTTCAGGATATTGAAATTTTTTTTAAATATTTCTTCTTGGAAATTCTGAATTCTAGACTAATGTTTTAATAAAACTGGCATAGATCTTAAGAAGCAGTTTATCAGCAAGTTGATAGAGAAAACGGGAGAACAGTGTTCCATAATTTTCATTCCAAAATATCTTACCCTTTCTTTCTGCAGTCCACAATCCTAACCTGTCCATCACTACTGGCTGCAAGAACCGTATGGCAACTGGGTGTACCAAAACCAAAATATGTAAAGTAGAAATCATCTTCATCAAGAGCTAAAACCTAAAGAATGAACAGACAATATCACTTGGTTTTAGGGAAAGTAACAAGACCAGTGCTATCTGAAGCTTGATTAACTGTTTTAAGAAGCTGTCAGTTTAGTAAACACATTTTATCCCTCAGGCTGTAAATACCTCATCAAATACTTCCTTAGAGAAGTCTGCACATCTTATTATTCCATCATAGCTGGCTGTAACCAGCTTAGTTTGGTCCTCTGGATCAAACGCCATATTTATTATTGGTTTTGTGTGCGGCTCATAAATAATTATATTATTTTCTTTCTTGGAATTCTATAAAGAAAAAGTGTGGTCATGAGTAATAAATCCAAAATGAATTGCAAATTGTATTTAATATAATGGCCTGTGGGTAGATTGGGAGACAAGCTGCCCTACTCTCCTCTTGAAATTGAAAGTTTTAAAAGATCAATAGAAATGAGATAAGTAGAATAAAATTAAAAATGAACCACTCAACTTACAATATCCCATATTCCAAGTCTTCCCAATTTATCACCAACAAAGAGTAATGCTTTGGATTGTATACTATGGAACTGTATTGAGTATACCCTTTGTGGTACAACTTTAGCAACATGATTTTCCTTGACAAGTAGTTTACTGTATCTGCATGATAAATTATAAAATATTATCATTGACCATCACTCCATCTTTACCAAAGACTCATCAAACTTTTGTTAACATATTTTGAGATTTTGCCCACAGGCTGGCGCTGCAGGATAGAACTCAGGGTCCCCTTCAAGGTACATTGCAACAATTTCCAACCCCATAAGATCCCCATACCCATCCCACAATCAACCCATTAAGAAATCATTAGTAAAGGCCAGACACTGAGGGTGGTCACTGCCAGGGTTTCTTTACATCCTCAGTGGTTCTTTTAAGGTAGTGGTAGTGTGGAGACGGGACAACCATACATGGTCATCCAAGCCACATAACATAACAAGCCGCAAGGCCATTTTTTTGGTGAATATTTGTGACAGCATGTTCCCAGTGTCACTATGGTTACTACCACAAATCCGAGTATCGTGTAAATTGGATTAACACTTCGATACAAAGCAGTGTAACATGATCAAATAGCAGTGCTGTTATTCTCTTTACCTTTTCGCATTTTGTTCTAACTATAAAATGTTTTATAACTACGATTAGAGATTATAAACTTAAAATGTAGCCTCTCACAGAATTACGGGCGAGCCACCTGAGCAATTCTGTTGCTTTCAGGCGAGCCGCCTGAGAAAGCAAGTAGAGAGGGTTCCATTTTCTAACTACTACAAAAAAAATTAAAACTAGACTGCGATTGATTATAAATTTAAAATGTAGCCTCTCACAGAATTACGGGCGAGCCACCTGAGCAATTCTGTTGCTTTCGGGCGAGCCGCCTGAGAAAGCAAGGAGAGAGGGTTCCATTTTCTATATTAAAAATTTGTTAAAGAAATACAACATTAATTTGCGCGGGAACATATGCAGCAACAATGCAGCCTTCATTGTCAAATTTAAAGAACACCTTATCATTAAAGCTAAGGCTATATATTCAAAATTGGCATGCACGAGTGTGAAGGATCTTCTATAGCAATAATTTTGACGTATTCGACAGAAAGAGCATCTCTAAATAGGACGTAACAACGATTTTTTTTGCTAGACTTCAGTTTTCGCGCCAATTTATATTATTAGATGTTTGGCCTAAAATACGATCATATATCATCAACTATACTCTAAATTCCTGGATCAATACCATCAAACACATTAGTAAAGGTTCTTCTTGAAACATTGCTGTACTATAATCTACCTGGAATTTTCTGCTAGACCGAAAATGTGAACTTTGAGTTGAGAATCATGTCACAGTGTACATTACCAAACGCTGACCATTCGACGGCATATTTCGAACAACATAGATCAATTTCATGATCAGAATAGCATCGTGTAGATTCGATTAGCTATCCAGTATATTTAGTAACGATCTACAGCGATCGAATTCATTAAAATCGGCTGTTAACCATGGAGGTACCGGCAGAGGATAGCAGAGCAACATAATCATTCTAATGTGTAATAAAAAATAATTAAATAATTACTGCTTTGTTCTAATGTGGATACCCTGCTGTGGCACAAACACCTTGCCCATCTTTACATACCACAAGTATGCGGATTTCAAATCCGCTAATCGCCAAAAAAACGGGCTTGCGGCTTGTTATGGGTCTAACCATTTGTAGTTGTTATTACAAAGGCAGTATCTTCTCCTCAGTTATTTTAAGAACCCTGAGTGTTGGTCCAGAAGGGACTTGAACCACGACCTCCCACAAGAAAGTCTGATGCTCAACCAACTGAGCCAACTGGGTGGCAGTAAGTTTAGGCTCTTTTTATATTAATATGACTTTCCCAACTACGCATTACCCCAGGCTAAATGTTGTAAACACACATTATGAATTACAGATACCTTAATTGATATCTAGAGAGAAAGAACTCTATTTACCTTGAAGAATCAAAGGTTTTTTCGATAATTATATTTTTCTTGGTAATTGATTTTGTGTCCTGAAATGACATATTGTATTAAAATATTATGATCATTGCATTCCATGAGAGAGTCTCCTACGCAGCTCCTATTAGTGTTGTCATGCATTGCTACTAGCGGGGAGTGAGCATTGAGTGATACACTAATAGCAGCTACATGGGCGACTTGGTCCATGGGAGTACTGTAACTAGTCACGCAAAATCTCTGCTAGATATCTGTCAATGATTCACTGCTTCATACCCAATTGGGCTATATGGCTACACGTACTGGGTGTACATAGAACTAGTTAGGTCCAGGGTTGTAAACATGCTACACGTACTGGGTGTACATAGAACTAGTTAGGTCCAGGGTTGTAAGCATGGTAAATCAATAAAGCTTTCTGAGAACTGATAAAGACGTAGTTGTGTCTTACTTCACCTCTGAACTACTCCAAATCAAACATTACAGCACAAATTGAAATGTTGATTGAGGAATCGATGAAATTTATAAATTACAAACCTTACTCATCAACCCTGCAAGCTCATCTAAGAACACTTTTGAATCTTCTTCCTCAACATCATTTGCTGCATTCATTTCTAGTTTCCCACGATGTCTAGGCTACATGTAATATTACATAGTGTTACATTATTGTTTAGCATATAAAAATGAGCAATATGTATGTGGGTTACAAGCGCAGTCTTTTATTAGGGACACTACTGTAGTTTTTTGACTTATTGACTGTCTGTGTGTGTTGGGGGGGGGGGGCGTTGGTTGACCTATTGACTATCTCTCTGTGAGGGTGTTGGTGTGTGTTGGGGGGAGACTGTTGGTTGACTTATTGACTGTCCGTGTGTGTTGGGGGGGGGGGGAGAGGCACTTATTGGTTGACCTATTGACTATCTCTCTGTGAGGGTGTTGGTGTGTGTTGGGGGGAGACTGTTGGTTGACTTATTGACTGTCCGTGTGTGTTGGGGGGGGGGACTGTTGGTTGACCTATTGACTGTCTGCGTGTTTGTGTGTTGGGGGGGGTAGCACTTGTTGGTTGACCTATTGACTGTTTGTGTAGGTATGGTGGGAGGGGGGCCGTGTACAGTTAAACTATGAACTAAACTGCTGGGATTAGATTTATTGTTTCAAATCCGCCTGCAAGCCTTGTTCAGCGGTCTTCCAAAAGAACACTCACAACTCGAAAAGGAAGTATTCTATTTGTCCGTGTACCTGTTGAACAACTGTAGAGATGGATGGTACAGGATCAGGTAGTTTTGTTATACCATCTGGTTCTATCTTTCTTATTCTTAGTGACTGACGTCTAGGTAGATCCTCCTTGACTTTTTCAACCTTCATTCTTTAAAAACAAATTACAAGAAAGAGTTGCAATTTTTTTTAGAAAAAGAATTAAAAAATAACAATTATAGAAAAAATGTTTGTAGGTTGATGGTGTCAATATGTAACACATTGCAAAATTGTTGTAAAACACAGAATGTAAAGTTGAATATGACTTGACATGCTAAGTCAAAGAAAAATACTGATATACAGTCATGTAGATATTAAAAAGGTGCTGGAAAAAATGTTAGAATTACTTATCTTCTAAATGCAAGGCTGCATATATAGTATAGTTTTGAATGGGGCATGCTAATATAGTAAGAGCTAGTCTGGGGGAACTATGAAAATGCCCCACCCCACGTCGTAGAAATAAGACAAAAAATAGATCATTAACAAACCTGATTGGTTTAATAGTTGGTTTTCTTGTTAAAGAAAATGAAGAAAGATCTTCTCGCGCCTGTATTGAGCAATCAAAATATAAATATCAAACAGCAAATCTTAAGATTCACATCAATTTATAGCATACTGGTATACATATAGTGAAAAGGTGGCAGGCACTGTTACATAGTGCAGTTTTGGTATGACTGTGAAAAATTCACGGCATGAAAACGGCCATGACAAGGCTAGGGATACGCAAGACCAATCACATTGCACGAGAATTTACTCTCCCTCCAATCAAATACTCGGAACACGTCATAAACACGGTGCAGACACGGTCACGCCAAGGTCACGGAAATGCCAGACCAATCACATTGCGCATGAAAAAAACAGCCAATTAAAATTCTAGAAAGCATCACGGCCACAGCACCTCACGCTTACGGCACTGAGCTTTTCAC